TGGATCATTATAGATTTATGCTGCATCATGATTAGTTTAACAGCACTACTTAATTTATCTTTTCGAAACGAGAACGCATTTCGAAATTTTGATTGACATTTCATGAGTTAGCACATCTACTGTAGTAGAAAAGTAAATGAAAGCTTAAATTTTTTACATACCCAGAATACAGAACTCAGAGACTGTTATAATTAGCTCGAAAAAAACAGATTTTGACATTCTCAAATGTTTAAAACTGTGACAGGACCTATGGATCGATAAGCAACTGGACCCATCAAGCACCAAATCGCCGCGGTCAGAGGTACTGCTGGCAATAGAAGGCGGAACTTCTGTACATGGCGCTGCATAAATTACGACTGGAGACACGTTTTCCTTGTAGTGGCGCTTTGTAAAGTATTGAAGAATGGATCGCTGACAGTTTCATAGGGTAACGATCGATGTGTTCACGGCCAAAAGATCTCGAGTCTACACCAACGCTGGGTCGTTTGGACGACCATTACTCTCGCAGAACCGCTCATCGGGTACAAAACGAAAATATCGAAACACGGTGCAGCAACGTGAATTGTTTAGTGTAAAATAAGTATGTGAAAAACCTCAGTATCCTATTAAAAGTAGTCTCGCAGATGTCAAAAAAGACTGCAATTTTGAACTTCATGGGGGAAGTATTAAGTTAACTGAGACATGATAGACAAGCAGAAGACCCCGAGTTTAGCCTGTCAATTTCTATCTTGTCCCGTTGCTATTCGCAACAATGTGAGCCTTGTTTAATTATTGGATAATACGTTTTTAAAAGGACCACGACACATTTAGAAAAACGGAGCATTCTGTTATTCATGAACTTTTCGAAAATGAAGGTATTTTGACAGAAATAATCCCGTTATTTCAACAGCTAAAATGCGATGAAGGACCACAAACGATGACAAAGGTTGGGAAAAAGTCAGACACATTAGACCATAAGCGGAATAGACAAACACTCAAATCGTTTATTCGATGTTGAATAATTGGTTGTATTAAAAAAAACAAGAACTGAGCTATATTTGTATTGTTAGGATGACAGCAGAATATTGTAAAAAGGAAGTACTACTGAAGAATTATTGAAGTACATGCAACAAGCGTAGAATAAGAATGATACTGTTTGCTATATTTTGTGTCATGTTTTTCGAGTAAAAGAACCCCATGTACTCGGATCTTGCAATACGAGCTCTAGTCTCCGAATATAATCTCGAATTTGGACAGTCAATCTTGTACTTCGCTCACGTATTGGCATCGTCAAATCGGCTACCGACTGGTATTATTCCTTGGGGATAGTGTGCGATAATAGATGGGTCGCAGCAGCGACAGAGTCCCCTTCTGGTCACCAATGAGTTCAGTTTTATGACTGCATTTGGATATTATCAATCCAATGGACTTTTTGATTGAGACTCGGACATCCCTTCTCGCTTTAATAAATCGTAAACTTGAATACTTTGTCATTGCCAATCTCCTTACAAAGCCTGCCAGAACTTGTATGTACAGGCCTTTTAAGGAAGTTAAACAATGTTTAGGAATAGCTTTGTAGGACAGTAAAGCGTGCAGTGATTCAGAAGCTATTTTGATATCGAAAAGCGCCCGTAAATTTTCCAACTACACGATTTTTGGTCAGTTTGGTCAGTGAGCATAAGCTCTTTTGAGATAAGGTGGGACTTATTTTTGTGCATATGAGGGAGACCCTGCATACAAACTGAAAGGTGAGACCGGTTTTTTGAAAGTCTGTCTGAGTCATAGTTGTTGGCTTAAAGTCTGATTGGGGGATATAAATAGAAAAGTCATAAAAGACTGAAATGAGAATTCCAGGATTATTTGCTTTAACTGAGTGGCACAACCTGGGGTTGGCATACTGGTCAGGTTGATTATCAAACGAGACGTCCTGAACGGTTGTAACCATTAGAAAATGTCAACGATTATTCTTGTACGACCTGACCGCAGCGGTCCCTGGGTTCTGCATCTTGGGCATTTATTCATGTTAAAATTGCATTAAGTTTTCCATCAAATTGACTTTGCGATTCCGCAGTACTTAATCTTTATTATGGCGGAGCAAGTAATTTTTACTAACAGCTGAATCGCGAGACTGCTTTTACTGCCATGGCGTGTGCAGAGGTGTCCAGTCAGGGGGTAAATGGTGCAGATGCGGTAGCTACTCCGAACAGTTATTAGCTGGCACCCGACTCTCATCTGTGGCTCTCCGATGCTAGACTCTGCCAAGCAGTCACCACACATCTCCTCACCAACGCGTACATCTTGTAGGAACCCGTCCCACATCATCCGCCGCGGGCACGGAAACGTGTTTTTGACTTCTATTATAACATGACGCATGTGAGATCCAAACAGCCTATCCCTCTGTATATAATCCTAGTGGGTTGTGCGGAAGGCCAGGTCGTGTGTGGACTGCGAGGAGAGCTTAGGTTTAGCTCCCTAACAACCACTTTACCCAATCGTCACATCAGACGATTGAGCGGCTCGGATAAGCGACGGTGAACGAAAGAGAATGAGACCGACTCTGAGGACTCCATTGCTACGGCGTTTAAGTGCATTTCTTGCTACGAAAAAGCTGAGGCGCCTGAGTCCATCACGATGTGATGAGCGTCGTGGTTTGAAAGACTGCCAACTGCGGTACAGCTCAGACCGCATAGTTAGCCCTCTGTGTGTTTGTATGGAGTAGCCGAGTGGTGGACCGAGAGTCAGACCCCACGGTTGCTCACTTTTGTTGACACGGCACATTTCCAGGAAGGTTTTTAACCTATCACGGCTCGCCAAAGCCATGACTTGGAAGGTTTACAACTGACGGGTCCACTCAGTCCTCTCCTCAGAGCGGGGACTCAGGCTGCAATGGCACTCTCATTCAGACGGGATCCGTGCCGGTCACTTGTCTCTGTGGAAACAAGGTCCATAGTGTGCGGACCAGGTCGTGCTTGGTGCAGGCAGACGGACTGTTTAGCTTTGTCAGCCACTGCCTCCCAGTCCACCTCCAGTCGACCTGATTGTGTTTTGCCACCACATCCTGGTGAGTGGCGGAGGAGAGAGTGTGGTAGATGCTGCGCAAGGTTGATATCATTTAAAACTAACTCTCGCTCAGATCATCACCTCCTGCCCCCCATGCTGAGGGGCGCATGGTGGGCATCGTCAGTCGCGACGGTCGAATTGTCTCTAACATGTCTTGCGAAGCTGACGTTCTGCGTGAAATGCCACTTGTTAGGTTACTGATGAGTGGATGCCTAGATCGTGCGTTCGAATCTCCACATTTACCAAAGATTAATGATGGTGTGACAATTCTGGCGACTGATAAACACCAGTTGGCGCGCAATGTACTATTGGGGACACAGCTAACCACAGCACGCACGTTTTCCGCGGATCATCCTAGTAGGCACTTTGACACAAAATGCAGCTATGAAATTTGCCACCGGCGATCTGCCAAATTCTTGATTTATCAGCTTTACGTTATATTACTGAGGCGTCGGAGCTAATTCCTGCATTAAAACCACTTAGAGCTGGCGGCCATTTTCCACAAAATGGCAAACAGGTAGAGGGTTATGCTGGCGGAATCTTCGTAGGAATGTATCAAGCGGCGAGCACTAAGGCAGGTGTTTTGCAGTAGATAACAGCATGTGATCACCCCTACCAGATCGCGGTTCTTTTCCGTGCCAGGTTTCGGTCAGAGTTTTATCAAAAATTTTTTTGGCAAATGCCGTGGGTCAATTAATAAGATTATTATTTACTTTAAAAGACAGTTCCTGCTCGCTAATTTTGCGAAATTGGAATGTTGAACTTACAAATATTCTGTGCCTAAAGTCAAGTTCAAAATTGCTACGGAGTAGAGTGTACTCGGCTATGAGAAAGTTCGGGTAAAAAGCGAGGTACTCAACCAGTCAAGCCCATTTTCTAAAATTTCCTTTTATCGAAACATAAGGCGATGCCAATTGTCTGAGTAGTCGGTGATACCGTCTGCAACTAAAGACCTCAACATAGACTCACATAAGCAACATTATACTTTGCATTCGGGGAGAGATAAATTCTGTACCGGTGATTTACTGCTAAGCTCAAATGGCACCAGTTCACCAAATTCGAAAGCAAACGTCTGAGTATAAGCACTTCCGTACAAGTCCCTTTCTCCCCAGTACCTGCCTACCACCCCTGCTACTTAGTCGCGGTGTCTTTCGATGAACGGATGTTAGTATCTGACGTAATGTCGGAGTTGTTTCGGTGCCCAGTGCTCAAAAAGTTCTCGCTCAAGATCTACAAACCAGAGTGCGGGTTAATCGGTCCACCTGAGATCCACCGGTCATGCTTTTCCCGACCCATTTTGCCCTTCTTGTGTGCACAGTCAAGGCATCCTGAAATTTGCAGTTAAATCAGGGCGAATTATTCCACGAAGTGGGTTTTTTGCTCTCGTTCAACATTTCCAAATGCATTTCTGGAGACCACTGCTGATTTAGTATTGTTCGGCGGTGTCCCGGTTGCCCAGGGCGCCCTATCCAATTTTGGCAAAATGTGCCTTGCTAAACCTAACACCCACTATTGGAACTCAACTTTGTCTCAGGTTCTGTTACCTGATATCAGGCTCACAAAACCGCCCGAAAGTAATTTCCAGCAGTATGCTTTTTGAGTGAACACCAATTCGGTCCATTATGTTCCCTGGAAAACAGCACGAGTTTTGACGCGCTACCATTATCATCTGCTTTTCATAGTTATGCCTGATGATGAAAGACGAAATTATAAAACTGGTGATAAAATAATTTAAATTCTGACCCGAGGTGTCGGATTTATAAAGGACAATTCTGGGATACGTAGGAAAAAACAAATATGATTTTTTAAAAAGAGGTAACTTTAAAAGTACTGATGGACAAATAAACGGTAGGAAAACAGCGTAAAATATTGGATCAAGTTCAGGTAGAAACAGGAATTTTAGCTTAAAAAGTACAAAAAATTAAAAAAAATCACCATAAAGAAGAGTTGTCTGAGTAGGCCTAGTGGACGTGGTACTTCGAGCAGGTCAGCCGCATGTATTCTCCTGGCACAAAGGCTTCTTGATCAATGCCACCATGTTGCCATTCACGATGGAGTCGTTGGAAATACCATTGCTCCATGCAGTCGTAGGCCTCGGGGTAGTAGTCCGCGTGCATCTTGTTTGCAAAGAGATGATGACTATGTCGCATCTTAGGAACATGCGGGCTGCCGAGTATGCAGACCCCGCGAACATATTTGGTGGGGCAGAATGTATGCCGATCTCCCCAGAGAACATAGCGTCCTGGGTAGCCTTCATTGACCTCCGTTGGCAGAGGGATGTTAAGGCAAGCACCAGGTGCCCCAAGGTGAGCGTTAAAAGCGAGGGTCTGGAAAAAGAGCTCATCTGGATGCAAAACCTCCTTGTCTGACATGACAGCGTCCAAGAGAGGCCGCGACTTAGGACTGTGTAATGCAAATTCGAGGAATTCACGGCGGAAGGCTCCGTACAAGCTCCCTTTGAACCACTTCATCTGTTTGCATATTGTAAAAGACACATGTACAATGTTGAGTACACTTATGCAGATAGACGATATTGTGTGACATTCAAGTTGACAATCTTCAGTTTGCTGTTAGCGCTCTCATCACCTGCATTTGTGGGTAGCAGACGGGGGAACTGTAGGTGTATTGTTTAGATGAAAATTTACAAATAATTCATGCATTCCATTGACTACCTTATCCATCGAATCGCCTCAATTTTGTGACAGCCCACGCTAACTTATTGGCGAGCATAGTGGGAAATAACACTGCACCAAGGACGCACACACTAAGCAGACGGAGATGGGAGCATAAGTTTACAGTTTTATGATTAGGAGATAATTAGATGTCTATCATACGGAAAGGACCGTTATCTAGCAAAATGAATGAATTCAGCTATAAATTTCAACCGGATGGTGAAGTTGGCGGGATTGTGGACGGATGCAAGCCAATGTCAATCGATTTTCAATGAGCGCATATTGGATAGTCTGAATGGAAGGAAACACAGCGGAAACAACAGCAGGCGACGAGATGCGTCGAAACCGTGTATTGATCGTCCTCTAGTTGGGCAGATGCTATCACAGATAGCTTCTGAAAAGCCGCCTTGTTGGCATGTTAGTAAATTATATTAGATTAGAGCTGTACTATATTAACATCCACCAATAGCCCCTGAATGAGTTTGATAAGTCAAATATGTATGTGGACAGTTCGGAACAAATTTGTAAAAGCGTACCTAGTGCAGGTCTTTCCTCGAAATCGGTGCCCCGCTCATCACGCACATGAAAGAGGCCAAATTACCCCCTACGTATGAAGCAAGTCCGATGGAACTGGAATCTAATTCGGCCTGCCTGTAAGCGCCTGGTTGAGATGTACTCATTATATCGGGCATTTCGTCAAAAACGGTGTACAGAAGAATGTTAACTGAGGAATTTGTGTTTGACCCATGGACTGAGTTTATACTAAGATGCACAAAACCAATTTAAGTAACTTTTTCCAGCAATTTCTTAGCCGTCTATCCCAGAATCAATAAGACAATTTTCCTCGCATAAAGCCTGAGATATATTTTGTATTAGGCCCGGAAATTAGGCCAACCAGCAGACGACTCGGCATATTGACGAGCTATGCGACACGGCAGTTAATAAGACAAACCTAATCAAGTGATGTTTCCAAACTGAATTTTCAGACATCATTGTGCGAAACATTTTGACCGTTCTCATTCACCACAGATGTTTTTTCTACCGACAACTTTTGGCGTGTTTATGTTGATGCATGACAACAGTGTCTGCCAGGATAATCTCCCCAGTTTCAAAGAAGTTCCCCTGGACGTAGCCACCTGAAGACTACAGAATCCAACCTACAGCCTTTCTGAATACAAGTTGAATTCAACTAGTCGGCTTCATTTCTGCTCGTAGGTTGTCACAAAATATCGACTTTCCGTCGCACGTTATAATGCGAATGGCAAATAAATGCCTTTCGTTTCATATCAGCAGTTCTGAAAAAATTCCAAACACCGAAATGTTTAATGTTCGTTGAGGTGATGCGTCATTCAGTTGTCTAGTTCCTATCCCTATTCCGTCATTGTGCAGATGTTTGGGAGGGGTGTGTGTGCGGGACACTCCAAGTGGCATGGCTAACTCGCGACTTCTAAAACTTCGGTAAGGCCATAAGAGGGATTTCTAACGCACCCTGCTCTCGAAGTTGCTTTCGCCGTCGCTAAACCCTTCGAACGAACGTCTTATTGCACGCTCTACAGTGATCTTTTTATCAAAAGCCGCGTTGATTTTGTAGGCATACTGAACCTTATGGAACTACCAGACATCCAGACATAGAAGTAAAAGTACCTGAAGCTGCTGTATATATGCGGCAGCAAATGAAAAAAAGGGAGGACACCAGCATTGGATAAATGATTAAGCTGAATTAGCACAGAATATTACGCACCCTACTGGTCTCGTTCGCATGCAACCAAATTTTCCATATTCTCCTGTTTTTCTTCGCAATCCCTATGACCTCGTCGTTTTTTCTAATAATTGTGCAAAACAATTCAAACTTTCCGTGTCCTCCACACCTGCCACTAACCTACCAGTGGCAGTGAGAGAACCACCCTGAACATTGTTAACGCCAATTTGCTGTACTTTTCACAAAGTGTATGCTTTCATCTGGACAAATTAGACCAGAAGTCCACAACGCAGAATACCAAAGGCGAGCCTTTCCATGGGCGTGCATTGCTGATGCAAACATTTCATATGCTGCGAAAGAGGAAGGTTTGAATACGAAGGCAATGGTTACACAGAGGCGGCATATTTATCCGCATTTATAGGCACAGTAACTGAAACTATTCTTTGCTTTCAATTCTTACTCTATGAAGCTGACGCTCATTAAACAACTTAGATCAAAACATATATGACAGGTACTTGGGCCTGAGTGAGTGCGGTGAAATGTCCACCTAACAGATGTACTGACGGATGTAGTGGATGCGTAGGGGCTTCTTTCATATGTAGAAAATGCGACAGACGATTAGAGACAGTTAAATGGGCGGTAGAGTATTGACGGACGGAAGTTAAGTGGGGTGGCGCAAAGTGCGTAACTGTCGACAAGGAAGGGTCCACCAGCTGTCCTAATGATAGATAACGTTCAGCATCTTCCCATTGCCAATTGAGCATCACTTACAGGCCTGCACCTAATGGACACTTCGAGCTGCCTACCAACTGGTTACTTTCTCAAAAGGACCTATGTCGGGCATTTTAACTGGAGAATGTTAGGTATACATGAGTGACGAATATAGCCATTGCCCTCAGTCAATGTCTGAAGTAATTAAACAGATAACTCACCACCGCAGTATTCAATAAAATGTCTAAATATTTATTTCAGGGGCCGTCATGGAGTGCGATGGTTCGAGAAAGGAGGGGTCCCACATCACAGGTCATGGAAGACAGCTTAGGTAGGGTCAGCATTACTGATGCGACAGAGCGTAAATGGGGTTCAGCTAGTAGCTGCCAAAATCTGTCTCTTCAGACGTGTGTGTGTGTGTGTGTTGTGCCCTCCAAACGGGCCACGTGTCAGATGCGCTGGACCAACACGGGGGCCACGTCGGACTCTGGCAGGCGTTATCTGTGCGCAATAACAAATGCCAACATTTGCGGGGTGCGCTGGCGGACCCTGTTGTCGGCATTCGTCGCACAACTGGACCACTGCCGCCACCCCATTGTTTTGTGGTCAAAATCCTGGTCATTTGTATGTGGACCAGGGGATGCGGAGTGGAGCGCCAAGGCGAGGATCCGTCCGAGACATCCACATGCGGCCTCTCCCGTCTCCGGTCTTCTTGACTCTGTCTTGACACCGGGCTCAGGCGGGGGAGGAGGAGAGAGTGTAGGTAGATGCTACGCAAGTCTACTGGCACTATAAACCCCTGCGTAAGTCACCGTCCCTGCTCCCACAATACAGTCTGTGGGGCACACTGTGGACATCATCGAAATCGATGGTCGAACTGTCGTCGTGTGTGTGTGTGTGCCCTCTGGGGTGTAGGTGTGTCAGCGGTGGGTTCACGTGATGGTCGTAGTGGTCGCTCACTTGCATGCAGGTGAGACCACGCCTAGCGCCAACTTGCTGGCACCTAACTCTCACCTGTGGCTCCAGGTAGCTGGGCTCTGCTCAGCGGCCACACCCCGGGCAACCGTCTCGACCGGCGGGCTAATCCAGCTGAGGGTATCCGTGCGTGCACCTGCACGCGCGGTAATGCGGTCTGCGCTGGCCGGATGGATGGATCTTCGCGTCGACATCGTCGAGACGAGGCTCTGCCTGGACCATCGCAGGAGGCCACCAGGTAAGTTCTTCTTCAGGTAAGTGCATTTGCTCTGTTTTCTTCCTATTGTCTGTTAAAGTTCCGCGTCGTATGCTGCTATTCCTGCCTGCCCTCTGTATGCTAGTCTGTCTGTTAATAGCTAGAAGAAACCCTCGATGCCTGCTGCGATTGTCTGTCTGTCAGTCTATGCCTCTCTTTGCTAATAGCTAGGTGTTACGGTGCTTTACACTTGAATGGTGCCCTCTCACTTCTGTCTCTAACTGATGACTGTGTCTGTTTGCCCACTCAAGCTAGCTGTGAGTCCCATACCGTTAGGTTGTGTGTATGCTCTCTCCTACTTTACTCCATCATATCACCACGACCACAAAGGTCCCAGGCTAATTCGGGTCGTTCTCTCACTAACAAAATGTCGTGGCCTATAGTGGAGTCCGGCAGCCGTCTGGGATAACCGGGCAGCCCTGTTCAGGGATGCGTTTCCTGCCCTCGCAAGGGGGAGGGAGCTAGAAAAGGTGCCCTAAATATCGCTGGGAACCACGCTGTCTGTAGGCTGGCCGTGGCCGCAGACAAAAAACACACGGTCGAAACAGCCAAAACCGAAACAACAACAACAACAACAATCGCCCGCTTCCTCTTCCAGCCTATTCTTCTTCTTCTTCTCCTTCTCCTACATTTCGCCGCCGCAGTCGCCAAACTGGCAGGGTGAGTCCGCTCACTCTGGCAGCCTGGAATGTTCGTTCCCTTTTAGACAATCCGAGGAGCAACCGACCGGAACGGAGGACGGCGCTAGTGGCACGAGAACTGGCGCGCTACAAGGTGGACATCGCCGCACTCAGCGAGACCCGATTCTCCGAACAAGGCCAACTGGAGGAGGTGGGTGCCGGCTACACCTTCTTCTGGAGTGGTCGACCCAAGGCAGAGCGACGAGACGCGGGTGTCGCCTTCGCCATCCGGAACAACATCGTAGGACGACTACCTTGTTTGCCGCAGGGTATCAACGATCGCCTGATGAGCCTCCGTCTGCCTCTCCGGCGAGGAGGCAAATTCGCCACCATCATCAGCGCCTACGCTCCGCCGATGACCAGCCCCGACGCCGTCAGAGACAAATACTATGAGGACCTACACGCCCTCATGGCGACCGTGTCGAAGGCCGACGAGTTGATTGGCCTGGGCGACTTCAACGCCCGCGTCGGCACAGAC